GTTTCACTCCGTTCTTTCGCCATTTCCCCACTATACAGCGCCCTACTAGCATTTTAGGCTAAGTAGGAAACCATCGTGCCAACTGCCTTTAACCATTCATCAAGCAGAATGTGTGAGATAAAACGTTAATCTTCTGTAGGGGTTGAGCTATCAGTTACGAAAGTTCAAGGCAAATCGTCGATATAAAGCACCGGATGCCACAACAATAGCCAGTGATGCAAATCCTCATAAAGATAGGTAAAATTATCTGCATTCCTATCACATCCAGGAAACGCCTCTGTTACGAGGATTGCTGAAAACAGTACTTCAAGGTGCTCAGGGCAAACTGTGCACTCAGCTCCGAGGACAGTCTTTGGCGTTTGCAAAAGGACATGTTGGCAGCTATGGAAATGTAACATTTCCGGTAATTTGGGGGGTCCAGAAGTGGGATCGAAGGGTAGTGATGCTGGGTGCCATTTCTGAGTCCGCGCGGATCCTGGAAGCGGCGCGTCGATGGCAATATCCTCCTGCGAACACGCAGCTGAAAGTTGAGAACGACCAGAAGCGAGAGGGTTGGCCGTGCAGCAGCGCGGGAGGTGACATCCACTATACTCCGGCATGGTTCCCGTTCACTTTTGAACGGAGAAGGCCCATTCGCCTTGGAAATAATAAGGATCTGCGGAAATGAATGTACAGTTAGCCTTCAGGGAGTCGGAAAGGTGGATCGCACCAATGAACCAAACACACTAATAGTAGTAGCTCGGCTTCAGCAGTCAACAGCGCTGCACCCTCATGCGTCAGAAACCCAAACAGATGCCTGTGTTCTTGAAAATTAATAAAGAGTTCCCAATTACAGCCCCATAAGCAGAAATTTGTTAATTCAGATACATCGACATACGATGCCTTGATGCAACCAGAGTAGTTCTTCGAGATAATCCATCAGACTATATAAATGCCAATTACATTGTATCATTGACTGGACGGAGGTTTATATGCACGCAGGTTTGTTGAAGTCTCTTGATTGATAGTTGACTCGTACTAAAAAACAAGCTGTACACTCACCTCCGATGCCTGCTTTTGTTATGTACGAAGTGACGGGCTGGTAGCTGTGCAATTTGAGGCTCTTTTAACCACTAAAGGGGCACGGAAATGAGGCTGGAGAGTAGTGGTGCCATGTTCCGATGCTATTCGGGACTTTCGTCCAGGTGCATCACTGGGTATCAGAATACCAGGTGGGTATCAGAATCCTGCAGCGAACACCCCATCCCACGGTAGAGAACAACCAGAAATGAGACGGCGAAGGCAAGCAGCGCGTTTGTATATGGCTAGGCGTGGCATGTGGCTGGTCGTGTGACAGCGCGAGTGAAGTATCAGACAGCACCCGGGTATCACTGTGAGCCGGAACCTTTGCTGTGTACACTTGAGAGGTCAGAAGCGCACGGCTGCAGTTACGCTCCCATTCCCATCCCTTCCTCCAAGAGAGAAAGGAGCAGAAACTTGAATGAGCGAGGTCTAGTGGTTGCTGTTCTCGCCCATACGATCAGCTTGGGTTGTGGCTTCGAGTGATTTCTACGTTTCAGGCCCCATTAGAGAAAACTAAAGAAGACTTCTGGAAAATGGTTGTACAAGAACGGTGTCGAACGATTGTAATGCTATGTAGCGATGTTGATGGTTAGTCTATCCCGCGTTCTGCCCTCGTGTTAAATTTTCCTAAAGGTCCCTGGCGTGTTTTGAAAAGATCGTAGGCTGGACAGGGCTTTACTCCAGGGTAGCGCGATAACCAGGAGTTCACTATCATTATGAGGGCCGGTAACACAGTCCTAAAGCGCATCACGGTACTGTCCATGCGCCAATTGTCCCCTAGCCATGAAGGATATTTTGGCTACTCTCAGAATGTCCTTCCCCCACCAGCAGCCTGCCGCTGTACTGACGTCTCTCTTAACTCTTCTATGCTAATCTTGCCCGAAGGGCTTATGAGCGTTAATGCCTTTGATTGCTGACACTTTTTTGTGACATTCTGTATCTGCTACGAAAAAAGTGGAAATCCACAACGGCTTCCCCAGAGTGGATTAGGGTCGTTGATTGATAGATGCCCCAACTTTATCCGCAAAGGTTGTGGATCGGCTCACGAGGTCATGAATATACGGGCCTTGCACGTGACTCACCCTAGTCGGCCACCCTCCAACACCACCTTGTTGGTGGGGTCACAGAAAAGTGCCCTGAGGCCCTACTGGAGGTATATTCTATGACCACGACCACAACTTCCAGAAAACTGATGCATTGCAATTCACAATTAGGGTTTGTTCCGCCGTTGGGGAAAATAATTCTGCGATATACTACCTCCTTCCTCTCGACGAACTTCCTCCTCTCTTACAACCACACCCGGTCCACCCTCGCCGCCTACTACAACCTACATCGGTTCGCTGGATCCTCAGAATTTTTCAGTCCTCCCCAAGAAACTGATGTCGTGTGGGATGAGGAGGGGCAGGTCGTTATCTCCCTTCCGCCCTTATGAGTAACCGCAAAATTCACTCTTTAAACACTACAGCAGAGGTACAGCATTCGTGATGTGGTGAAGATGTAGTTAGAGGACCCTCCCGCGCTCTGGGGTGAATGTGAGGGGTCGTGAGTAGACCCCCGCCCCACCTAAGAGACTCCTAGCGATCGCTCTCCGCCCGCCCCTCCCTGCCCAACACCTCACGTACATTTTCGGCACATTTTTCGAGTTTTTCACCGAAAACTTCCGTCGAGGGGGAAAGGGGGGGCGTATATGTGCACACTGAAACAAGAAAAAATCACGAAAGTCAACAAACCGGAGCAAACACAAGCAAACTTCTGCTCAACAGCACAATACGACCCCCCGCTTCCCACAACAGAAAAGTAACCCCCCCACCCTCTATATGTCTCACACAACGATGCTGTACCCTGCTCACAGCGAACATGTTGCGGAAACGAGAACGTTTATATGTAGTGGCGCAACTCGCTCGCGTTCTGATTCTATTGAGTACGGCATTAAGTCGGACTCTATTCGCGACTCATAAAGTGCCTTTTTATTACAAAATTTTTCAGAGTGTAAGGATAAGTACGCAAATTATCATCCAACCCGTGTCGGTGATCAGATGGTTGTGGGAAAAACTATAATTACTTCAATGACACAATTTATCTCATGCAAGTTGGGCTACACAGTTTCGATACTCGAAGTGCAACATGCGTGAGTTATAGCCTTGCTGAAATTGAATCTAGGGCAAATAATGAATTAAAGGAAGTATGGCCATTTAGTAGGCTCCCGGCCCTTCCCATTATGAAACGGCTCTTATGAAGCCAAAAAAACCAAGCCCAGTTTCTCGAGAAAAAAAGCTTGCTGAGCAAGAGGAAAAGGGAACGGGGAGCTTTTGCAACCCCCTCTGTGATACTGCTCAAATATGATGTGTCCTGGTTGAATCCTAAACAGACAACCAATTGCATTTATCGGATTTAGACTGTCTCGATTCAAACTAAGCCATATTCATTGTACGTCATGGCCTGATCATAGCGCACCAAAAGACAGCACTTGTGTAATAGCGATTCACAAAATGCTCTTGCAAAATCATCTAAAACGTCCAGTCGTCGTTCACTGTTCTGCTGGAATTGGAAGAACCTGTACGTTTGTTGGTTAGTGTTTCGAGCATTTATGGAGTTTGACCGATACAGCATGTATACTAACAAGATTGCGTGGTGCAGTGGCAAGTGGCGCCGATAAGGCAACGCAGTGAGTCGACGCGAGTTACAGCGCGTCAACGCGACAGGCCTCACGTTGACGCGCTGTAACTCGCGTCGACTCACTGTTATTGTATCCGCGCGCTATAGACGAAAACACAGCCACAGATGGGTATCGATCGGCGCCGGCCGTACTGCTTTGAGAGAGTACG